ATGTAAGTTTATATAACTTAGCTTGAAATAATGGTTATGTTTAACAATTGGCTCACAAAATTCCTAAAAATTAACAACTGGTGTTTGAGAGCTGGTCTCCAGCACAGCGCTGGCTGGTTATCACTTAACAAAACCCTAAAGTCCATCTGTTTCTCTAGAGAGTCTAAATTTTATACTTTGGTTATGCTGGGGCACCAGAGAACTTTGTATTTGGACCAAATAATTCCTTTAGGCTGAATCATATCCGAAGCCCCTTTCCATGTTATGACAATCCCATATCCTGTGAGGCAGGGACTCCATCCCAAAAAAGAAGCCAAAAATATCCCATACTCACTTCCTTTGCAACTCAGGTGTAGCCATGTGACCCAGACTCCTCCAATTAGAGGGACCCATTGCAGTGACGTGAGGGGGATCCCCTATGGGATCGATTACGCAAGTGGCAACAGCCACATCCAGGGTCCAGATCCAAGTCTTAGCAATGAGCACAGTCATCTCTGCGGCCCCCTGAGCACCTCCCACTGTTCTCTGCCCTGACCTTCCTTCCTGGAAGTTTATCCTTCCCCCTCTTTCTCTATAATTCTACTACATGTTTGTATCCCTCAGTAATACCTTGTTTTGTTTTGCACGGTTTGGAACTTCACACAGACGGAATCATACAGTATGCATTGTTTGGCCTTTTGCTCAACACCGTTTCAGAGATTTGTCCATATTGTTGCTTGCAGCTGTAGCTCATTGATTTTTTACCCCAGGGGATTATTCCATTGCATGACCACATCACAGTTTATTTACCCATTCCACTGCAGAGGGATAGCTGGGTTGTTTCTCGACTTTTTCTTGTTCATCTCTCTTGCTGTATTTGGCTAAGGGAAAAAGAAAAAGCTCCTCTCTGACAGAGCCTGGAAGGAATACAGGGTACATCTCAGTACTGCTTGGCTTGGTTTTGTATAGGGCATAAAGAGGTTAAAAAAAATGGTCTCTGTCACCTTATATCTCAAAACTTTGATTTCATCGTGACCAAGAAAATCAAAGCAAGGCCTAGTGAAGCGAGGGGAATTACCTGGAATTGTAGCAGTTTCAAAGACATGACATGGCAGTGAAGCCAGAGGACACAGTGACAAGCATGGCCTTTCATCACGGATGTCCGTGAACGGTAAGGTTGGAAGCACCAGCAAGGCCCAGGCAATTATTTACATCCATATAGAAATTTGAAGACATACTGAAATGTGAAGAAGTCTGGGAAATTTCTCAGGGCAACCAGCCTACTGACCAAGAAATATTTGTTAGGTGTCTACTTTGTGCAAGGCATTCTATCAGGTATTGCAGGAAGTACACAGATGTTTACAAGATGGAAGAAAAGATGCTCTAGACCTTAAAGAGCTTATGTGTTGACTGTCACTAGACACAGATACAAGGGCATGTGTGCTAAGGGCCAAATGAATGGCTAGGAACATAACCTCCGTAAGCTTTCTGCTTTACCCTTGGATTGTGACCTCTGTGAGAGCAGGGACTGAAGCAGTTTTCTTTCTTTTCTTTTCTTCCTTCTTTCCTTTCTTCCTCCCTTTCTCTCTCTCTCTTTTTTTCAAGACTTTATTTATTTACTTGAGAAAGAGAGAGAGAGAGGGAGCACAAGCAGGGGAGAGGGACGGAGGGAAAGGGGGAAGCAGACTCCCCATTGACAGGGGAGCCTGATGCGGGACTTGATCCCACGACTCTGGGATCATGGCCTGAGCCAAAGTCAGATGCTTAACCAACTGAGCCCCCCACGTGCCCCAGCAGTCTTTCCATTGTGTCCCCACAGTTTTGGATGAATGTGTGAATGAAGTGTCTGGAATCATCAGGAAAGACTTGGTGGAGAAGACAGTTCTTTTTAATTTATTTATTTAATTTAAATTAAATCAATTAACATATAATGTATTATTAGTTTCTGGGGTAGAGGTCATTGATTCATCATTTGGATATAACACCCAGTGCTCATTTCATCACATGTCCTCCTTAATGCCTATCACCCGGTTACCCCATCCCCCAGCCACTGCTCCTCCAGCAACCCTCAGTTTGTTCCCTAGAGTTAAGAGTCTGATGGTTTGTCTCTTCTCTGATTTCATCTTATTTTATTTTCCCCCTCTCTTCTCCTATGATCTTTTTTTCCTTCTTAAATTCCACATATGAGTGAAATCATATGAGTTGTCTTTCTCTGATTATTTTGCTCAGCATAATACCCTCTAGTTCCATCCATGTTGTTGCAAATGGTAAGATTTCATTCTTTTTGATGCTGAGTAATATTCCATTGTATATATGAACCACATATTCCTTATCCATTCATCTGTTGATGGACATCTGGGCTCTTTCCATAGTTTGGCTATTGTGGACATTACTGCTATAGACATTGGGATGCAGGTGCCCCTTTGGATTACTACGTTTGTATCCTTTGGGTAAATACCTAGTAGTGCAATTGCTGGGTCGTAGGGTAGATCGATTTTCAGTTTTTGAGGAAACTCCATACTGTTTCCCAGAGTGGCTATACCAGCTTGCTTTCCCACCAGCAGTGTAAGAGGGTTCCCTTTTCGGAGAAGGAAGGTCTTGGCGGGAACGCTGAAGGGTAGCACTGACTCTGAATAGTACGAAAGAGGCTATGGAGTAAGTAAAGAGGCTGGCCCTTGGAATTGGGGATTGGAGAGAGGAGGAAGCCAGGCTGTAGCCAAGAGCTCTTCAGGGAATGAAGTGGGGGGATGTCTGGAAGGGTGGGGTGGGGCCCCAAAGTCAACTCTTGAATGCCAAGTTAAGGAGTTTAATTTTATTCTACAGTTAGTGAGAATAACTGCATTGCAGTACATTTAGCAGGGGAGAAAAACTGTTTTGGGAAGATTTATGTTTTAGAGGGATGCAAAAAAGAGTGTGTTAGATAGGTGCCAGAGAAAACTGGGATCCCTATCTCTAGCTTGGTTGGGGCTTATTTGCACAGTAGCAGTTGGAGGATGCCCAGGGGTGCTAAGAAGGGACAAGCCCTGATGCACAAGCACTTTTCAAAGTAGCTTCATAGTTTCTGCTGTTCTTCTGGCCAAAGCAAGTCACCTGTTCAGGCCCAGATTTAAGGGGGTGGAAAATAAACACCATTTCTCCTCTCCCTTCCCTTCTTCCCTTCCATTTCCTTCCCTTTCTTTCTTTCTTTCTTTCCTTCCTTCCTTCCTTCCTCCCTCCCTTCCTTTTAAAAAGATTTTATTTATTTGACAGAGAGAGACAGCTAGAGAGGGAACACAAGCGGGGGGAGTGGAAGAGGGAGAAGCAGGCTTTCTGCTGATGCAGGGCTCTATCTCAGGACCCTGGGATCATGACCTGAGCCGAACGCAGATGCTTAATGACTGAGCCACCCAGGCGCCCCAACACCACTTCTTGATGGAAGGAGGGGCAACACAGCAAGGCAAACAGGAGAATGTATAGGGAGGGGTGAGCTTCTGGCCATTTTTGAAGCCTCCTACCCTGGGCTAAGGGATAAAGAAAACATAAAGTTCTACATGCTTGGAGGTTGGGTTAGAAAGAGCAGAAATACATGCACCCACTTTCTGGAACACGCCTAAATACCTTACATCTTAAAATCTGATCTGCTTACCCTCTGATCTGGAGAGATTAACCCATAAGTTACGCAGATCATTTTGGACAAGTATTTAACCCAGCTCTCAGAATCCGGGTGTCTAGAAAAACAGACTCAGATACTTTGTCTTTCCCTGGTTCTTTTGGATTCTGAGACATTTTAAAAATAAAAGTGAACACTGCATTTAAGCAGTTGGAAGCATTTCTGGTTTCTAATCAGCCTATGGCTGCAGGGGCACTCCCTCAAAACAAACCTCATGTTCTGAGTCCTCCCACTACCAACAGTTTACAGCCTACTGCATCATAAGCACAGTATATGGGGTTGACACGATTTTTGGAGACCTTAAAAAAATTTTTTTTTGAGTCATGAAAACATTTTTAACTCAAAATTGCAAAAGATACTGAAAAATCTAAATGCACATATATCATTAAAATAATTTGAAAGCAATTTCTAGATATTTTTACTTCCTTAGACTTTTCGATTAGAGATGCCCCCCAAAATCACACAGCCAATAGCAATTTAAATGACTTCTTTATAGTCAAATAAATCCAAAAGTAAAATGATAAATATTCCTTCAAACTTTTTTCACTGCAAGAATCCAAAAAATCCAAAAAAGATACTGAACGTACAATGGGGATGAACGACTGTGTTCGGTATGTTTGGAGGTCCCTAATATAAACGTCTGCTGAGGGTCTCCGGGGGGTCGTAAAACACCCCGGGGCAGGGAGGCGACTCTACCGAGTTGGCAAGGGCCTCACATTCAGGGCTATCTACGCTTTCCAAGCGGGTAAACCCGTTATCAGATCCACAGAAGCCAGGGTTCCAGGGGTCCGCCCAAAACGTGTCCGAAGCAAGTCCTTCCGGGCCTTTGACCTGCTTTGGCAGAGCCCAAGTTTTCGTGGGGAGACCTCCTGCTTGACTGCGCAGGGCTCTGCCGGCGGTGCCGGGCCACGATGATTCCCTTCTGCCGGGAACAACTGCATCGAGACTGTGGCCGGCCGCCCACCTGCTACTGCTACAGAGGGAGGAACCTGTTCCAGCAAAACGACCCGCGTGCCGTCCCCACCGGGCTGGGTACTGGTCCTGACAGCCTGGCTCCGGCCTCCACTTCCTGGGGGCGTGGCCCCGCCTACCCTCCCCAGTAGGCCCCGCCCCTCGGCGGCTCCCGTTCGCAGACGTCGCGGCGCGCTTCTCTGACGCAAAAGCGCCTTCCTCTGTCGTCAGGTCCCGCCCCGGCCCCGCCCCGCGCCCGCCCTCCGCAGCTAGAGCGGCTTCGCCTGAGGCGGCGGCTGGGGCGGCAGCTGAGGCGGCTGAGGCAGTCGAGGGGGCCGAGGCGGCGGCGGCGGCGGCGGCGGCGGTCGCGGTAGCCGACCCTGCGGACGGCGGCCCGCTGTCAGTGTGCTCCCGTCCCGGACCGGCGGGCGATGGTGCGGCGGAGCGCGCGGACGCGGGCGGCGCGGCGGCGGGCATGAGGGAGGATGGAAGGGCAGGACGAGGTGTCGGCGCGGGAACAGCACTTCCACAGCCAAGTGCGGGAGACCACGGTGAGCCGGCCCGCCCTCCGCGCCCCCGCCCCTGCGGCCGTGCTGCCAGCCGCCCCCC